CCTTCACACGAATACCCGCCATCCACTTTGCTCTCTCCAAAGTCATACCCTCATCCAATCCAAGAAGAAGCATATCACTTCTGACTCCCCTAACCCATGTATGTTTGGGCCTTCCTCTCCCTCTCTTCCTTGCCTCTTCTCCACACATTTCAACTCGTCTGACAGGTTCATCACTCGGTCTTCTATGCACACGACCAAACCACCGTAGGCGCGACTCCCGCATCTTATCTTCAACAGGTGCTACTCCACCCTTTGTCTGATTGTCTCATTCCTCACGCGGTCCTTTCTAGTATGCCCACACATCCAACGCACATGCGCATCTCTGTCACACTCATCTTTTGAATGTGACATTGTTTCACCGCCCAACACTCCGTGCCGTACGGTAATGCAGGCCTAATTGATGTCCTATAAAATTTACCTTTCAGTTTGGTCGGCATACCTTGATCGCATAGAAATCCAGATGCACTCTTCCACTTCATCCACCCTGTTCTGATTCTATGGGATAAATCTCCATCCAACTCATCGTCCTTCTGAATTATGGAGCCCAAGTAACGGAACATATCGCTGACCAAACTTGCATTCCATGCACTCTGTCTTGCTCCGACTTAGTCTGAAACCCTTGTTCTCCAATGTTTATCGTCATACTTCCAACTTTGCTTTAATCTCTGATTGCGTCTCATCAATCAATACAATATCGTCTGCAAACATCATGCACCATGGTATATCGTCTTGAATTGACTTTGTATGTTCATCCATGACTATGGCAAATAAGTAAGGGCTCAAAGCCGATCCTTAGTGCACTCCGATAGTAATAGGGAACTCCGCAGTCCTCCCTACGCTAGTCCGGACACTTGTAGTACAATCCTCATACATATCCATGATGATGTTGATATATTTACGTGATATGCCTTTTCTAGTTAAGTCCCACCAAAGAATTTCCCGATGTACCCTATCATATGCCTTTTCTAAGTCAATGAACATTAAATGCAAATCCTTGTGAGTGTCTCTATACTTCTCCATAAGTTGCCGAAGAAGGTGAATAGCCTCAGTTGTTGAGCGACCAAGCATAAAACCAAATTGATTCTCTGAAATCTTCACCGTTCTTCGAAATCTTTGCTCAATCACTCGCTCCCAAATTTTCATGGTATGACTCGTAAGCTTAATCCCTCGATAGTTGGCACATTCTTGTACATCACCTTTATTCTTAAATAAGGGAATAAGAGTACTCTTTCTCCAATTCGTTGGCATCTTGTTGTTTCTCCAAATCTTGTTGAAGAAATTTGTTAACCACCCAATGCCTCTTTCTCCCAAACTTCTCCAAGCCTCGATCGGTATGCCATCAGGACCCATTGCTTTCTTCCACCCCATCTTCCTCGAAGCCTCTTTAACTTCCGTTGTTTGGATCATCCTCACAAAATCATGATTTACCATACAATCTGGTATGGTCAAATCACCAATATCTTGCACTTTGTTCCCGTTGAACAATGTATCAAAGTATGACCTCCACCTCTATAATATCTCTATGTCCTCCATTAATATCCTTTGATCGACATCCTTCACACACTTAACTTTTCCGATATCTTGAGTCCTGCGATCACGAAGACGACCAAGTCTATAGATATCTTGTTCTCCTTCCTTAGAGTCCAATTTTTCATACAACTCCTTGTTCACTCTCCTTTGTGCTTCCTTTACGGCTTTCCTTGCTTGTCTTTTAGCCTCTTTGTATGCTTCTATGTTCTCATCACTCTGACTTGTCCCTAGCTTTTTGTAGCAATCTCTTTTATTCCTTATGGCTTGTTTCACCTCATCATTCCACCAAGATGTGTCCTTTTTGGGTGGCAGACATCCTTTAGATTCTCCAAGTACCTCCTTTGTCACTTTGTTAATGGCCATCTCCATTGATAACCACGCATCCTCCACATGTGTTTCATTATCAATACGCCATACATCTTCACCGAACATTTTGTGTGTAAAGCTTTGTTGAAGATCCCCCTTAAGCCTCCACCACTTTATCTTTGGCTCCACTTGTTGCTGAACTTGTCTTCTATGGTTCTTACCTCGAAAGTCAATCACAAACATCCTACGCTGAGTGACAACACTTTCACCTAGGATAACCTTACAATCAGTGTAGCTAGTTCTTCAAGTAGTCCGTACTTAGAATAATAATTTAGCTATATCACTCACACTTTATTTAACTCATCTACCCACCTCGACATGCGTTCTATCCAAATTTGATCATATCTTGCTTTTAATTGCTAGTTTGGTACATTAAATTCTCTCTATATTTTTTGGGGCTGGACTTTGTAGTCTCTCTTTATAGTATTCATTCAATACTTCATTGTTAAATGCAAACATCCTTGATTGGGATAGGTTTCGAACCTATGACCTCCTCCTTGGGAGTGAGTGTCACAGTGATGTCATCAAACCACAAGGTGTTTGGCCTATCTCTATATTTTTAAATCAACCACAATGAGAACCAAACATTTGTGTAAATCCAAAAGGGACAAACCATTCTGACCAGCTACTAACCCAGTGAATGTAAATTGGACATAGTTAATAGTAATAGTTAGACAACAACTATTGAAAATGAAAACATTGCTTGTGATTACAAACATCATAATTTTTGTTTCACTAGTGTTGTACCACTTTCCATATTGTGCTAATTTTCATATCTTCATAAAACTAAATGAACACTACTGGGGATTTTAGAGAAGATATATTATAGGTTTATCAGGAGAGGATAATAGCCTATATTTTAAAGGGAGAAAGCAAAAAAGAAAGAAATTGCCATGATAGGAAGGATAAGTGAGGTTTCAATCACAAATCATAGAAGCTTTGCGACCATTATCTAGTACATGGAATCATGATTTTGGTAATATGGTTCAAAGTACCCAGTTATTAAGATACAATATGGTATTAATCGCAATCCATATTTTACTCAAGATCTCTTAGAGGCACTTGTTAAAATGTGAATTAAATACTTTGCACGTGAAGTGTAAGGAGGTAAAGAATCTATATCGTTTGGTTTGATTATTTATTGCAAACATTTTATAAACATTTCGCACTAAAATATTTTACATGGGGGAAGGTGGTAAAATATTTAACATATATTTTTATTTATAAATCGTTCCAATTACTTTGTGTGCAATCTAAAACTAACTTACATACTCAAGCAAAGAATTTTACATGTAAAGTGATTGACTCCCTAAACGTTTCATGCAATCATTTTGAGTAAAAAGTTTTAATATACATGCTACCAAATGAGCCCTTAAGTTTACTCATTCATTTGTTCTTGTGAGACGTCTCAAGGATCCACATTGAACTACCACTTGGTCGGCTAAAAATCGCAGCGTTTCAAAATACACTTAAAGTTTTTTTACAAGTGAATGTATTTATCATTAAAAGAATACTCCAACCATCCTATATTTATTCCCGCTATGACCTACACACTCATTCACATTCATTTATTGAGTAAACAAAATATTATGTTGAGGTTTATTTGAAAAGGAAATATTACTCCTTTTTAGGGAATTATCTCATAGAAAACTTACAAGTACCATACTCATCACATGTGACGGGCGACATTACATGATAAATAAACTTTGTCAACATTATATTCTTAATTAGCTATGTATGTACATAGGTTTATGAGTCCTTATACACACACACACACAAGTAGTATATATTCATATATGATATATACTAGTACTAGCTATAAATTTGACATAGGGTGATGGCCTACACCAACTAATTAGCTTTGATCAATCCTGATGTTACTCACCTGGCCGGCCTAGCTATTTAAGAAAAATGTCCGCATAGTTGTTATATAAGCGAGACAGAGGCGGAAAAATCAAAGCAGCCAACCAGACAGACTTGGTTATCAATTAGCAATTTATATGCATATATATACTACATACCATACCTTGTCTGGCCTATCTAGCCGAAAGTTAATTAATGAGCTCCCAAGCTCGATTAGCTCTCTCTATTCTCTCTTGTGTGTCTTCCAAACACCTAACTGGCCAATATGTTTTTTTGTTTGTTATTAATTACAAGCTGGTGGGTTTCTGATTGGCCTACTCTATTATTGATTGTTAGCTATCTAGGTTCCAGGTATATATTTAATAGATAGTTATGCCTATAATGTTTCCCCTTACTTTAATTTTGACACAAACTTAATTGGTACATAAAGATTTTTAGAATGGATGCATGCATAGATATTATGTGTTGCGAGCGCTCCAAAGAGCTAGGAAGGGGAATGTATATAACCTTACCTATAAATTGAATTTAATTAATACATATTCCCATACCATATCTATATTTATATGCATATATAGAGAGGGGGGTGTATGCTCACAAAGCAGTCAAGCCAGCTTCTCTCTGTGTTATATAGAGAAATAATTTGTGTGTTTCTTGTGTGTACGCAAGAAAAATGGCAGTCAAGCCAGCTTCTCTCTCAACCCCCAAGATTATCACATTTGCTCTCATGTCTATTTGCCTAACCCTCATTCTTGTGACAACTACTCAAGTCCTAGAAAAAACCTATAATAATCGACCGACATGGATGTACCCTAATCCCGCAGTAGTCCAAAAGCGACCTGGTTGGTATCGCGTATTGGAAAGCAGAAATGTAACAAGAATGAAGATTGGTTTAGTCAATAGTGTGAAGAATGATGAGCTTGAGATTGAGGCTGGTTTATTTGGAGATGCAGCAGCGGTAGAGTTGATTAATGTAAAGTTTCTTCGTGTTAATGAAACTGTTATCCTATGGAAAGACTTGTATCCAGAATGGGTAAATGAGGAAAGACCAGAAAAGTGTCCAGATATCCCAATGCCTCGTTGGGAAGAGTACACAGATGAGATAAACGTGATTGTAGCTAGGGTTCCATGTACAGATCATAATAATGTGTTTAGACTACAAGTGAACTTAGTGGTTGCTAACCTTTTAGTTATGAAAAGTGGATGGAAGGCTAGTTACAACCAAATCCATGTTGTTTTCATAGGTTGTGAACCCATGCTGGAGATTTTCAGGTGTGAGGATCTATTGTGGCATCAAGGAAATTCATGGATATATAAGCCTGACTTGAGAAGCCTCAAGCAAAGGGTAGTCATGCCAGTTGGAAGTTGCCAGCTTGCTCATCCATTTCTTCAACCAAGTAAGTTTTAATTTAATTAGCACTTTAATTTCTTGATGCAAAACCCATATATTGCATTATTGTCTTGTTTATAACTTCAAAATCCAACTACCTCTTGCACTTTGGTACCCATATAATGTGTTCTTGTCATGTTTATAACTCCTAAAGCTCATAACTGCCCCACCCTACCATATATGATGGGTTTGGCAGATTACAGAACTCGTAATTGTTTACTCGTAAACCGCCCACCCCGCCTCTTTGGTACCATATATTGCATTATTGATTATTGTCTTGTTTGTATCTCCAAAGCTAACTAGCTCTTGCACTTGCACACCTTTACTAATATTAATGATCTGTTATATATAAAGCACTATATGCAATAATCTATAATGGTATATATGTATGGCGGCAACCGTGAAGGAGAAATCATATTTATTATAGTATTTATTTTCTTTGATTTATTATTCAAAAATATTTTGGATTTTAGATAATAATAATATTAGCTATATCACCCACACTTTCTTCAACTCATCTACCCACTTCGATCGTACTTTCTATCCAAATTTGATCATACATTACATGCTTTTAAGTGCTAATTATATAATTTGGTACATTCAATTATCTTTATATGTTTTTTATTCAACCACAACGAGAACCAAAGATTTGTGTGAAACCAAAAGGGACAAAAACAATTTCTGCCATCTACTAGCCTATATTGAAAGCAAATTAAACATAGTTAATAATAATAGTAGTTAGACAACAACTATTGAAAAATGAAAAAAAATCTTGGGATTACAAACATCATAAGTCTTGTTGAGTTGTTTCACTAGTGTTATACTACTTTCCATATTGTGCTAATTTCCATATATTCATAAAATTAAAGGAATACTATTAGTGATTTTTGAGAACATATATTGTGTGTTTGTGTGTGTGTGTGGGGGGGGGGGGGTAAAAGCCTACAATTTTAAAGGGAGAAAGCAAAAAAAGAAAGAAAAAATAGAAAATTTCATGATAGGTAGGATAAGCGAGGTTTCAAACGTAGATCATATAAGCTCTGCAACCAATATCTAGTACGTGGAATCATAATTTATGTAATAGGGTTCAAAGTACCTAATTATTACGATACATATAAGGTATTACTTGCAATCCATATTTTACTCCGGATCTCTTAGAGGCACTTGGTAAAATGTGGATTAAATATTTTTCACGCAAAATGTAAGGAGGTAAAATGTCTACATCATTTGGTTTGATTATATAATGTATATTATACGGGGGAGGGTGGTAATATTTAACATGTTTTTTTTTATCAATCATCCCAATTAGAAAATAAACTGATTGACTCCCTAAATGTTGCATGCAATCATTTTCGATGAAAAGATTTAATATACAACCTACCCGGCCTTGAGTTTACTCATTCTGAAGGTGTTATATTCGTCTGATCAGAATGGTTCTAATCTGAATTTTTTAAAATATGATCTGATCTATTTTTTTAATTTGATCTGAATCTTTCTAATTATATCTAATATGCTCTAATTTGATCTAAATTTTTCTGATCTGATTTAAATCCTTCTCATCTAATCTGAATCTTTTGATCTGATCTGATATGATTATTATTTATCTGATTGAGTTTTGAGTGTTTATCATTATTATTAAATTTTATTATTATTATTATTATTATTATTATTATTATTATTATTATTACTATTATAATTATAATTATTATTAGTTATAATTATTATCACTATAATTATTAATTATAATCATAAGCATAACTATAATTATAATTACACTTACAACTATAACTATTATTTTGATTATAATGATAATTATATTATCATTATCTTATCATTATTGTTGTCGTTTTTATACAATTATTATGATCATTATTATAAGTGTTATTAATACCACTACATTATGTAGTATTAATATTAATATTATTATTAAATTATAAATACCAACAATCTACATTTATATAATAATGGTAACATACAAATATTGATACTAATAGCAATATACTTAGTATTAATAATAATAAAATGTAGTAATAGTAATATCATTAATAATAACCATAGCAACAACATATGATATTTTATTAAGTAATAACAATATACAATAATAACAATAATAACGATAATGACGATCATAACGATCATAACAATAATAACAATAACAACAACAACAACAATAAGATATGATATGATTTGATTCGAATGATTCTGAACTGATCTAATGTTTGTGATCTAATTCGAATCTTTCTAATTTGGTATGATCTGAATCTTTCTGATTTGATTTGTATCTTTCAGATCTGATCTGATTAGAATCGTTCTGGTGTGATCTGGTCTGATTTTTTCTGATTTGATTTGAATAAAATAAGAATAAAAGATAAGTAATAAGAATAAGACGAATAGAACAATTTCTCAGATTTTATGATACTATAGTATCACTTGTGAGACGCCTTAAGGATCCGCTTTGAACTAACACTTGTAAGCTAAAAATCATAGCTTTTCAAAATACACTCAAAGTTCTCTTTTACAAATGAATGTATCTATAATAAAAAGATTACTCTCATGATCCTATATTTATTCCCGCTATGCCCTACACATTCATTTACAAGTGAATGTATCTATAAGAAAACAATATTATACTTTGAGGTTTATTTGAAAAGGAAAAGTAAATATGAATTGGAGAATTCTTAACTCAAAAGAAAATATAGAGATCATGTAGAAATAGATAACAAAGAACTATGTGAGGATAATTTGGTGACATGGGGATAATGTTTAGCTAAAAAGTGATATGTCTCACAAGTGGTTTAATCTGCCAAACCCATATGATATGCGTAGTACAAGTTTTGCATATTAGCCTCTCGTGATTCAAAAAATGCATCGAAACTCCATGAATTATAATTAACCATGCACTTAGTACCCTGAAATGATAAACTTAAATGCTTAAAAGACATGTGCAGTGTCATATTTGATCATTTACATGATTTCTTAGATGCCCAAATAAGTGACAAAGATGAGTTTTTAGCCGTGTTGAGTGACAAGTATTATGTGCATGATTAATAATAAGACACAAGGCTTGATGCATATTTTAAATCATAATAAGCTAATGTGTAGAATTTGCATATATAACTTGAACTTGGCGCATTAAGCCTACGTAACGGGATTGAGGTATGTGAGACCGTCACAAACAAACTCAAAAAAAAAAAATTGACCATTATTTTGTTGTTTTTTTTTTAAAAAAATTGAGGTAGATACCTTTTTGTGCACAGGTCAAGAATTGCACAAAAGAGGCTATAACGAGACCCCACATCAGCTAAGGGAGGCTTATGTAACTGTCATCCATTCATCAGAAACTTATGTATGTGGTGCAATAGTTTTAGCCCAGAGCATAAAACAATCTACCTTAACAAAAGAACTTATCGTCCTGGTGGATGAAACTATATCTCAAAAATCCATTCATGGCCTCGAAGAAGCAGGATGGAAAGTTAAGAAAATCAAAAGGATTCGAAGCCCACATGCAAAGAAACACGCATATAACGAATGGAATTACAGCAAACTTTGGATATGGCAACTTGTAGAGTATGAGAAACTCATCTTCATAGACTCGGATTTCATTGTCTTGAGAAATTTGGACAAGTTCTTTACATATCCACAGATATCAGCAGTTGGGAATAGCAGACATGTGTTCAACTCTGGTCTAATGCTAATAGAACCATCAGAATGTACCTTTAAATCCCTAATGGAGAAAACAAAAATTATTGGCTCATACAATGGGGGTGATCAAGGGTTTTTGAATGAAGTTTTCTCATGGTGGCACCGGTTCCCATCCGGTTTGAATTTCATAAAGAATTTCAAATCAATTCAGGGTGATAAACACGAAGTGCCAAATAATGTCTACACGGTGCACTTTATTGGCATGAAGCCATGGATGTGTTATCGAGATTATGATTGTAACTGGGACAACATAAATAACCAACATTTAGCGAGTGACATGGCACATAGATTGTGGTGGAAAGTTCATGATAAAATGCCTCAGAACTTAAAGCAGTATTGCGCTCTAAAACCACAGGTAGAAGCAGAGATAAGAATGTGGAGGGAAAAGGCAAAGAATGCTAGTTTGGCTGATGGACACTGGAAAATCCCACTAAGAGATCCAAGAAGAAGTTCCCTTGTTTGATTGTTGTTTTCTTTCTACCTTTTCAAGTAGGAAATTCTCATTTTTAATCTTTGTTTACTCTTGTAAATTAGTGATTTTCTCTGCAAGAATATTGTTTACTCTTGATGTTGGCGGTTAAGTAAGGATAAAGTTGGGGCGGAAAAAATGTACATCCAACAAAGAACATGACTATCATTATGGGACATACCAGAATGTCATAGTGGTCTATCTTTATGGGACAGAGGGACTAGTTGTTTTGTTTGGGCTTTAGACCTAAGCTTTAATGAGTATCCACTAGAAATAGAAGTTTTATGGTAACCATACCATCAACCATATGTTGACAAGCTTAATGGGCCTTTGATCTTGTAGAATAATTCAAGATATGTTTGAGAGGGGTTTTGGAGGGGAAATGAGGGATTATTGATCAGTTTATAACATATAAAAAGTAAACGCCATATTTTTAAAATAAAAATATAGTACAAAATGATAAATGATAAATAAGTATAAAGTCAAGTCAATGTCGTTGTTATTAAATGTTACTACAAAGAGAGCTTCTTCTTGTACACACTTTTATACCCACCTATACCCACCATGTCTGTGAGGAGTTTGTTTTTGTCTGTGAATTCGATTCACACACAAAATTTTTGCATAGACATATTTTGTCTGTGATCGGGATTCACAGACAAAAAAAACTCCTCACAGACATGGTGGGTACAAAAGTGGGGGTACAAACAGTTTTTTGTACTACAAATCATATATAATTCTATAAAAAATGACTCTCTCGCCCCTCCCCTTGAAAAAACATACCCTCAAGGGTCTCTAACATAAAAACAAACATGTACACAGAGATCATATCCATAGAAATGCATGTTGAGGTTTATTCCTTCAACTCGATCCAAAGGCCGGGCCAACACCTTTGGGTTTCGAGTGGAGTAGTTTAGTGGATGCAAGCAAATAATGGAAAAGTCAAGAATATAGTAACTGGGCCGTGTCTTATTCAGTAATAATAAGAGTCTATAACAACACACTTCACTACAGACCCACTAGGACGATCGTCTATATGAGCTAGAAAATGGGGGGATAATTGTTATTGCTAAAGCATAAGTTGTCAACCTTTTACAATGAAGTAAATGCTACTACCTCCGTCCCTTTTTGCCATCCTTGTCCCTTTTTACTACCTCTGTCGGATCATTCCCAAATTGGGCCTTGATGGTTTGCTTGGTAAGGGATAATGGGCCATTCCACCATTGGACCTATTAACCCAACACAAGTATCACACTTATGATGTTTCGAGCGTGCGCGGGACATAAAGAAGTATGAATGTTTTCTCCGAGCCAGGTTACCTTGACGCTCCTGACGTGATAGTTCTTTTGGCGGTTCCCGACATCCTAGGTGACAGTTACGACAGCCGGTTCAACTTCCAAGGTGAAAGTAATCATCATGCGTCGGTTGAGCTCCGTGTGACACGTGTATTGGGGTACGCTCCTCGCCACGTGTCACACACTCATTGGTCCTTCGGGTGGTGGAGACTCCTATAAATACCAGTTATATCGAATGGTTTAGGGTTTGTAAACTTTCGCTCAGCTGTTCTCAAACGGTGCCTGTTATTCCGCTCGGGCTCTTCGCTCACAAGTCCTTCATGCTTTTCATGATTTAGGTAATTCTTTTCCCCGTTCTTTCTTTTATTGTTCTTTAGTTTTACTGATGTTGAACCCTATGGAGATAACCATGGATTCTCGTATGTCCTTTGAGTCTGACTGGAGTCTCGATCCTCGGGGGGACCAGAACGTCTGGTAGCACTGGGCCTAGTGCTACCACTGGGTGGAATAAGGTCGACTCCACCGCATCTGACAATGTCGTCCGTCGCGATGACGTCTCGGAGGAATGCCCAAGAAGAAATTTCCCAAGTTAATGGGGTTGAGCCTCGACCAGAAGATTGTGACTCCGACAACAAGGCCTATTTTGGGGACGATCAGGCGTCTATGACCAGGGGATGCCTCAAGATGTCCCGCGCCACAATGTACCCTTGTGGAATGCCCACAGTTGTGACCAGTTTTTCTCCGAGAATGTGCTCCATGAGCTTTTACTGTATCTTCTGCCTCCCATTAGTTATAGTCTGCGCGGTGCGACCCAACCCCTAAGATGACATCCGGGCATGGTGATGGTACACCTGGATTTTCTGAAAGTTGGGTTGCAGTTCTCGCTTCACCCATTCTACTTGGGGTTGTTTCGCCGGTACCAGGTCGTCCCTACTCAGTTCATGTCGAACTCCTTCCGATTCGTCTCTGCTTTCATTGTCAAGTGTGCTGATAGGGGTGTTATACTAAGCCTGGATATTATTCAAGCTATTCCCTCAGAATTCTGACGGGTTGCTGAGCATTAGAGCTCGGCCCAGGCGGGAACTATTCCATGGGCCCCCACCTCCATTCATGACCGAAAACATCAGTTCTTGTTCGTTCGGTTCCCTGAAGGTCAACTGCCCAAGCGATGGAATGGATACCCTCCTATGGTTGGGCCACTGCCCCTCGATCACCAATGAGCGGAGGGAATCTGTCAACAAAGTGAAAGAAGGAGGCTCCTAGCATCTGGGTCTTTACCTCACCTTGCAAACACTTGCAGATGCGGGAATAGGTACTGTCCGCTTCTCTAGATTGGGATGATCCCCCCTCTGCTCATCTTTGGGATCCGGATGGTTCTGTTCATGTGAGGTGACCCCCCTTTGGATCAATATCGCCCGGTTCTAAGACTTGTTTTTTCTCATTTCTCAACGCGTTGAAGCTGGATCGGGCTGCAGGATGAAGGATATAACTTCGACGTGGCCCCTTACTGAAGCGGCCGCCGTTTAGGTCTAAGGGACCGATCTGCCCTCCCCTAGCTGTTCAACCATTGAGGCGTGGAGGGAGTTCGTGTGTCGTTCTGGCGTGGAGCTGGTGCCACGCCTGTCTCCCACCGAGGATGAGGTATCTGAGGAAGAGGAAGACCGACTGATGAGGATTCCCCGACCCTGATTCATGAGGAGTTAGGGCACACCGCTCGTATCATTTCTCTGGGCACTCGAAACCTTCAGATGCTCATGGTCGCCTCCGTGATGGTTAAAGCTGAGATAGGTATGTCCGGTCGCAGCTCGGGGTTTTGGGCCTTACATCTTTCATAACACTAACTGTGTCTCTTTACTCGCAGGTGTTTATACCAACCCTCCAATCATGGGGCGTACGAACAACATCCATATGATTCCCAGCACGCAGGACAAGGGGAAGGGGAAACTCATCGTGGAGGACGGGAAGCTGGTGACCCAGTCTCGAGCTTGAGCCAACCCCGAGGTCAAGAATTCTCTCAAGCGGTCTTGCAATGATGACGCCTCTAAGGTGGTGGTCCTGGTGGATTTAGCTGATGAAGAGTCGATGGTCCCCCGAAGCCCACTCCCACCTCGGAGGTCCACACTGACCTTACCTCCGGGCTCATAGAGTTTTCCGGCGTTGGGCCGCGTGCCGAGTCGAGGATGCTATTCTGGTAGACGACTTCTTCCATCTAGTGCACCCTTGATCTGAAGGTGCCCTCCGATTTTGCCATTTATGAGTTGCCTCAAAACCTGCTCGAGTGTGGCCTTAGTGAGCTGAACAAGACCGACGTGTATTTTAATAAGGTCAAGGCCGCTTATGAATGGCAAGGAATGGAAATGGCCAAGTTGAGAGGCGAGGCCGAGAACTTGTTTAGGAGCGCTAAGGATAGTGCATCTTGTCTCCAAGATAAAACAAATGCTTCTGAGAAAGCTGTCCGTGAGAATGCGTCGTGCAGGGCTACGTGCACGTAAAATAGGCTGATGTGACCATGCATTGCGTGGGGGCAAGTGGGTCAGTGTTAGATTATGAAGGCGATGTTTCGAAGATCAAGGCCGCAGGTCCGACCGAGTTCCAGAGGTCTACTGCCTTCCGTCCCTAAGGATCGTTTCACGGAAGTACCAGGCCCATTTCATCGGGGAACACTTGGAGCAGAGCAAGGAGCCATATCTGGATGGAATCGAGTTGCATAAGGGTTCCCTTGTTGGTCATCGCTTCCTTACCGAGTTGGTCGATGATACTTTCGCCAAGGGTATGGCCTGTTTGATTTTGGAGAACCTGCCCATCCTGGAGCGTCATTTCCCAGCTTTGTTCATCCCTAAAGCCGCCGGATTGGATCCAATGTTTCTTGAGGCTTACGATGGAGACCTTGAACTCATCAAGGAGAAGAAAGAAATTGCCTCCAAGGGTACCACTCTGGGCAACGATCAAGCTTGATGTATTTTCCATCTTCCCTTCCTTTGTTGTAATTTAGACATTGTTGTACTTTCCTGGCCATTAGTGCCGAAGAATAAAATACCATTCTTTTTTGCATTAATCGTTCGTCCCCGACCCCCTCATCGATTCCTCAGCTCGGCCCGCCATGGGCTCGACTACAGACCCTTGGTGATTCGTCCGAGGACTGGACTATTCCTCGTTCAAGGCGGGTGGCCGAACTCGGAATCCCCTACCATTCGCCCTTGACCCCCTCATCAAGTCCTCGACTCGGCCCACTATGGGCTCGGCTATAGGCCCTTGGTGATTCGTTCGAGGACAAGACCACACCTCGTTCCAGGCCAGCGGACGAACTCGGAATCCCCAACCATTCGCCCCCAAACCCTCATCAAGTCCCCAGCTCGGCCCACCATGGGCTCGGCTACAAGCCTTTGGTGATTCATTCGAGGACTTGACCACTCCTCATTCCAGGTCGGTGGTCGAACTCGGAATCCCTAACCATTTGCCCTTGACCCCTTCATCAAGTCCCCGGCTCGGCCCGCCATGGGCTTGGCTACACACCTTTGGTGATTCGTTCGAGGACTGAACCACTCCTTGTTCCAGGCCGACAATCGAACTCAGAATCCCCAACCATTCACCCCGACCCCCTCATCAAGTCCTCGACTCGGCTACAGACCCTTGGTGATTCGCTCGAGGACGGGAAGCCCCATTGGTGTACATTTCCCACCAGTTGTCAAAATCATTCTCATCTGGGGATTTCTCCTCGGTGCCCGCAGTGCATTCTACAATGAAATCAGCATGGGCTTGCCCTTTGATCGTCGGCCTGAGTTTGAATTCAACATTGTTCTCTCCGATAATAAGAAACCACTTGGTGATGCAACCATTGTCCATTGGGTTTCTTAGGATGGTGGCGAGCGGCTGCGTCGTATATATTGTCACATAATGGGCTTGGAAGCACGGCGCCAGGCGCTTTATCGCTGCTATGAGTGCCAAGATCATCTTCTCCAGAAGGCATCTCTTCTCTGGGCCATTTAGTGTCTTTCTCACAAGATATATAGGCCGTTGGACGCCCTCAGCTTTCTTCAGCAGCACTGAGCTCACCGCCAAGTCAGCCACGACTAGGTACATGTACAAATGCTCGTCTGGGTCCGCCTTTGTGAGGACGAGCGATGAGGAGAGATATATTTTGAAATCCTCAAGGGCTTGTTGGCATTCCGGGGTCCACTCGAACGGATTCGCCTTCTTCATGATCTGAAAGAAAGGGATTGCCTGTTCGGCCAGTTTTGACATTAAACGACTTAGGGCGTCCAGACAGACGATGAGCCTCTGTATGTCCTTCGGATTTCTTGGAGCTTCCATGTCCACGATGTCCTTTACCTTCTCCAGATTTGGCTCAATGTCTCGTTCACTCGTCATGTAGCCGAGGAATTTGTTGCCCTTGATGGCAAAGGCACACTTCTTGGGGTTAAGCCTCATATTGGCCTTCTCCATTATGCTGAACACCCTCTCCATGTCCTGAACATGGTCCTCCTTCTTCTTGTTTTTGATCAGGATACCATCCACGTAGGCCTCCATGATTATGTTGAGGACCTTCTTGAATAATATCCCGATCGTTCTCTGAAAGGTTTCCATTGCATTCCTCAGGCCGAACAACATGACTATATAACAGTACACGCCGTCCAACGTGACGAATATCTGATTATCATCCGGGTGCATGAATATCTAATTATAGCCCCAGAATGCGTCCATGATAAACAATAGATAAACAATTTGTACATTTTTTGTTCGTGTTTAACAATTTTGCATGGGCAAACAGACATTGAAAAAAAACTAGTGTCTGTATACACAGATGAAAATTCCGGCAAATGATCATCTATAGTTTGCGGCGAATGTTCATCTATGTTTTTTCGACGACTTTCTGGCGACTCTCAAACTTTTTATTTTCAAATCGATCCTAAAAATGATAATGGTAAAACTGGTGAGGTGATAGATATGGAAGATGATGAAGATGAGAGGTGATGCATATGGTGAGGTAGATGGAAATGGAAGATGATGGAGATAGTGAAGATGAAGATGAAGTGAGGAAAACGGAGAGAGGCAGAGAGGCGAAACCAAGGTACTGGGCCGGTACAAGAATATTTTTGAAAAAAGTTATACATATTTTTTACATTAAAATTATAAGGTATATTTTTTTTTTTATTTAGGGAGGGCCGGGACCTAGTTGGCGCCTAGCTCCGCCCCTGAAAATGGTGATAGTAGATGTGAATCTGATTGAAAATGGGAGAAAAGGAAAGAAAACATAGACCAAACATGCATGATGTTTATCTATATGGAAATTTTTGTTTGTACCCACCCTCTTATACTCATCATTGTCTAAGACTATTTTTTGTTTGTTAATCCCGTTCACAGACAAAATATACATGTTTTTATCACAGACAAAAATATATTTGTTTTGTCTGTAAACGGGATTTACAGACAAAAAAATCTCACACAAAAGTGAGTACAAGGATGTGTTCTTTTGGTCTGAAATTTGTTGGTTCGGTCTGGTCTGATAAATGTATGGTCTCTGTGTATTTTATAACTATGGAAGTCTGGTCTGGTCTGAAACTGAAAGCAATCCAAAAGAAAAGATTCTAAGGAGTGAGTAAAAGTAGCAAAAGGTGGATCAGTGGATATAACTATGTAAGAGTCGGTAAGGCTAGCTGCAATCCATGGGCGAAAGAGTCATACATGAGCTTTTCACCCCAAGAAACTTTACAACCCATGTATTTAGAGGTGCCAATGTGAGTACATGGCCGACACCCCATGGTTGAGAATTAATTGGGTTTATTAACTCTGCTTTTTGTTGGGCATCGGGAACAGGGAAGGTGCAATTGGCATTGCATACAACAACAACAACATCCAAGGCTTAGTCCCAAAAGATATCAGAGTCGGCTAACATGAATCGATAACATTTTAGCCTTAGTCCCAAAAGGTATTGCATCAAAGGAAAAAACTGGGTCCCATAATATATATAAATCCCTATTTTTTTGTCTTATATGGAGTAACATTTTTATTTGTATCTCAATTTTTACAAAAATTATACCAAAATTCAAAATTTGTTATGATCTTTCATATGACATCAATATTAAATATATAAAATTTAGACAAAAAACATGAAATTTCATCTACTAGAGATTATCTAACCTATAATTTTTTCTTTCAAGTTTTAAAATTAAGCTCTCATGGTTAATTTGTTTATTACATAATTCATTTTTTTAAAAAAATAGGCCTAAAGAAACGACAACAACAAAATAAACTCCAAATTTATTTATTTTTACATGAAATTTTTTGTCTTTTTAAATCATAATTGTTTGCAAAAAAGAAGAATTAGAAAAAACTGATGGATACTAATAAAAGTAAGACTTTAATTAATAAGTTTGCAATTACTTCAACTTTAAAAAAGTGATTTTTTAAAATGATTTTGGGAAAAGTGATTAATAATAAAAGTTGGTAGTTTTTGAGAAAAAAGTGATTCTGGAAAAGTAAAAGTGGGTAGTGTTTGGTAAAATAAGTACTTTTTGTGTAATAGAAAAAGTGAGAAGCAGTTTAAAGCACTCTTCTACCTGCTTCCAGCTTTTAGCTTTCAAGTGATTAATTTAAGCAGAAGCTGTCATTTGAAAACACTTTTTTCAAATTTTTTAAGCCAAAAAGCTGAAAAGCGCTTTTTTTAACAAACCCAAACACTCCTTTATAAATTGGCGTGAAATTTGCAAAAATACTATCGTACAACCGGCTGTACCTAGGGCATGGTACAGCCGGGTTTTTTTGCAATTAGTTACAGATCTAGTGGCAAACCTTCTTCCATGTTGTGCTTGAACCATTGGGCTAGAAGGGATCTGCAGATTGTTCGGTGGAGACGATGGACGTGTTGCTCGCTGCTCGTTAATCGACGAAGGAGGTGCTCGCGGCCGGGAGAATCGCTGAGGTCGATGATGGAGAAGCCGATTTTAATCCTTCGTACGTTGGAGAGAAAGTGGGCATATAAAGTTCTCAAATAGTCAAACCCCACTATCACCTTTTTGAATGTATTTTTAAATTGTATTTTAATATTGTGTATTAATATTTTGAGTTTGTTAATTGCTAACATAAATTTTGTGTTATATTGGTAATGAGTAAAGTGTTTATAATAAATGTGCATAATGAATAAAAGAAATGAACTTACATAAATGATAATTTTGAGCACGTTGGGAAATTCAAACGAGCATACACAAATGCAAACTTGAGCATACTAGAGAATTCAAATGATGTACAGAAATGAAAAATTGAGCATATTAAAGATTCTAAATGAGTTTTTTGAATTTTTCGTAGGGAAATTCAAATGAGCATACACAAATGAAAACTTGAGCATACTAGAGAATAAAATGATGTACATAAATGAAAAATTGAGCATACTAGAGATTCTAAATGAAAAACACGAATTTTCGTTGCTCATTTGGTATTTATGCTCATTTGGTATTAATGTAATACGCATTTTAAAATGTCATATTCATATCAATGTTCATTTGCATGTTACGTATGCTCATTTGGTACTGATGTGCTCATTTTTAAAATGTCATAACAATGTACGTTTCAAAAGTATCATATTACATTAGATTCGCATATTAAAATTCATAAGAATTGATTATAGATATAATTTAATGAGTTTTTATAAAAGAAAAGGTAAGGAAAAAATGTTAATTACAATGTATGAAGTTGATATTACATCACTCATTATTTGCCTTTTAATGCTCAATACAATACATTTGATGCTCATTGAAAATGTATTAATGTTCATCTAACGAAAAACGAAATTTTCACTAAAATTACGAAAATGCCACTGTTTTTAGTTGTGATATCAGCTTTCTTGTACTAACATGGTGCTCATTATTGTACGCTTAATACTCATTAAAATTGGACTATTGCTCATTAACTGTACACCGATACTCATTTAGCAGAAACCACGATTTTTACATCAATTACAAAACTGCCACCGAATATTTTCCCTATTTTTCCGTTGAGCCTGTTATTGGACCGGCTGTACCGTGCTCAAGAGAGAGACGGTGGTACCATATACGAACTCTGAAATTTGATTCTCACATGTGAGTCCCAGAGCCCAGGTAGTTATTTCCTCTGTGCGACCATTTTCCTAAATAAATTCATTCTACTGTACTGATCTGTGATTCCCAGAGACCGGTCATCTATGAAGAACATCTTCAAGAAGAAGCCTCACCACCCCAACCGATCGAACGAGTCTCCTCAGCCTTCGTCTTCCTCTACCGTGCTCACCTCATCATCTTCCCCACCGTCTGCCCATCAGCGCGAATCTAGCACCTCTCAGCATCCGCAGAGTCCTTCGACTGCCTCATCTACTTCAGCTGCCGCCGCGCCAGTTGCCGCTGCAGGAGCGCCTGCTATCAATCCGCAACATGACTACTATGCCTCCGAAGAGGATTACCAGATACAGCTTGCCTTAGCACTCAGTGTTTCCTCATCCCACGCTGAGGAGCCTTCCTTTGACTCCGGCAAAGGTCAGATCCTCGGTGGAGGGAGATATAGTGCTGAATCTGCTCGTGATAGGGAGGAAGCTGCTGCTGACTTTCTGTCGAGTCACTATTGGGTGAGTACTAGATTTCATATCCTTAATTAGTAGAAATTCATTTCCACCCTGAAATTTATATTATAACAAGAAAAGATAATAAACAAACAGATATACTGCCTCCTCACCTCCGCATTGCTACACGTAACGAAACTTCCACATTGTTTCCTTTTTTTTGAAGTTTGTCAGTGATTGTTTGCTGGATGATATGCCTTGGTTATTTGTATCCCTAGCCATTTCTTTACAACGTCGTTTTTTTTATTCATTAGGATTACAGCATTCTTGACTATGAGGAAAAAGTTGTTGATGGTTTCTATGATGTATATAGCCTCTTCACAAGTCCTGCAAGTCGGGGGAAAATGCCGTCTCTTTCTGAACTTGAAACGAATGGTGGAAGTTCTGACTTTGAAGTTGTGATAGTGAATCAGAAAATTGACCCATCATTGGAGGAGCTTATACAGATTGCACATTGCATAGCATTAGATTCCCCCACAGATCAGATTGGTCTGCTAGTTCAGAGACTTGCTGAACTTGTAATAGAACAATTGGGTGGGCAGGTGAAGGATGCAAATATCATACTAACTAGATGGATGGAAAGAAGTATGGAATTGAGAACTTCTCTTCACACCAGTGTGCTGCCTATAGGATCCTTAAATATCGGGTTGTCACGTCATCGTGCGTTGCTGTTCAAGGTGAGTACTATACTTCCATTAAAGCTAGCGCTATTTCACTTTATTGGTGGACTCATTTTTGTATCATCAAAAGGTTCTGTGCAAGCATAGTTGTCATGGCGTCGCCATGGCGTCGCCTTATCGTCGCCAAATCGTCCAGGCGGTAAGAGAGGATCGACATATGCTGTCGACACGCCATAAACCTTGTGGCGTCGAAGTAGCGTCTTTGTGGCGTCGGTAAAACGCCATAGACGCCTAGTCGACGACTTATATGAACTGGACGCAGGACATAATTATTTGAAAAGGCCCAAAAACAAACCCAATTTTTTGAACCCATCAAAAAAAAAACCAGACCTATCTGCGCTCAATCCATCTCCCGTAGTCTAAACGCAGAGTCCCATCTGCGCTCAATCCATCTCCCGCAGTCCGCACGCTACTACTTCCCTTCCGTCTTCAATCGTCCGCAAGGTATTTCCGTCTTTAATGGCGAGCCTCTCTTAGTCGCTTCAATCGTCCGCAGCTTTACTTCTTCAGTTTATTTCTAGACTTTTAACTTTAGTGGGTATTTGATTCGTGTTTTTATTTTAATTATTAGACTTATTGCTCCAGTTGGGTACTTGGTTTAAAATCATCTAACTTCGTTAATTACGTGGGTTTAAAATCATCCAGTGAGTAGCTTTGTATTTAATGTTTTCAAAAAAAACTTTGTATTTAATATTTTTCAAAAAAAATTGTATTAAATATTTTGTTGAATGCTTTGAACTTAATGTTGTATTTAATGTTGTGATGAACTTTATAATGTTTTACAGAAAGTCAAAAAGCTTTTGAAAAGTCAGTATTGTATATTTGTGAAAACAAATTTCAGTTTTTCCCAAATAATGAATAAATTTCAGTAGTTTTTTTTTAAATTTTATATTTCCTAATTTTTTTCAGTGTCTTCAATTGAAGCTGAAATTTATGTTGTGTGACGGTGTTGTATTACATTTAATATATATATTTTTTAACATTAAATGTGAAATTTTTGTTATTTAGTTTTACATTTAATAAATTTTTTAAACAGTGCTTACCATGGCTGATCCGGAAACTTATGATCCATCAAAAGATCCAAGCAGAAAACCCAAATCGGATGATCCCGGATGGGAATTTGGTTTTTGGCCGGACAAGAATAACCGGGACTTGGTAGAATGCGCACTTTGTGGAAGACAAGTGCATTCCGGAGTTAAACGGTTGAAGCAACACTTAGTTGGCGGTTACGGGGATGTTGAAAAATGCACAAAGACAACTGCAGAAATAAGAACTAAGATAGGCAATTATATGAAGAGCAAAATGAAGAATAAAATGCAAGTGCCTGTTGAATAGGATGATGAAGATGATGAATTAGACGAGGATCCTGTGACACAAGTATCATCTCGTGCTTCTTCTATCCATCCAGTTCCTAGTTCTGGAACAGCCATAAAAAGGAAGCGTGTAGCGCAGTCCACTCTAAAATTTCAGCATTCACTACCAAAATCAGGTAAACCAACTAATTCTGTTGCTTCAATGATTAGAAAGTCACCTGAAGAAGTGATAGAAGAAAGGCATTCTCAGGGGAAGAGTCAACAGACTCTTGAGGGTTGTACTAGATCCAAAGAAGAGGTCAAGAAAGTTCATGGGCACATTGCTGATTTTTTCTATGAGAATGGCATACCGTTCAATGCTGCAAACTCAAGAAGCTATGAAATTATGATTGAGTCAATCGGGCAGTTTGGCCCCGGACTGAAACCTCCGAGTTATCATGAATTAAGGGTGCCTCTTCTGGAGGAAGTTGTGAAGGATACAGAAAAGTTGAAGGAGAAACATGAAATTGCTTGGAAGCAATATGGATGTACACTCATGTCGGATGGATGGTCCGATAAAAGGAGTCGACACTTGGTAAATTTTCTTGTTAATAGTCCAGAAGGGACTTTCTTCTTAGAGTCGATTGATGCTTCGCATGAGTCACAAGATGCAAGTCTGTTAGCATCATTGCTTGAGAAACAGATTCAAAAGATTGACAAAGAGAATGTCATTCAAGTAGTGACAGATAATGGAGCAAACTACAAAGCCGCTGGGAAGCTATTGGAGCAGCGTATACCCACACTTTCTTGGACTCCTTGTGCGGCTCACTGCCTAGATCTTATGATGGAGGATATTGGGAAACTCGTTGAGTTTAAGCCCTGGATTGATAGTGCAAGACGTTGCACCACTTTTATTTATAGGCACACAAGGATTCTAAGCGCAATGCGGGAGAGAACTGGTGGAAGAGATCTAGTGAGGGCTGGTGTTACACGGTTTGCCACAGCATTTCTCACTTTGCAAAGTTTGTGCAAGTATAGAGAACCTTTGAGGAACTTGTTTGTGAGTCAAGATTGGAATAATTCGAAGTTGTCAAGTACAGCAGTGGGGCAAAGGGTATGTGACACTATTCTTGCTACTAAATTTTGGAATGGGGTGGAGGATACCTTGAGAGCATGTCATCCACTTCTTGTTGTTCCAAGGATAGTTGATGGGGATGAGCACCCGACTATGCCTGAGCTTGCCATGGCTATGAGAGAAGCTAAGAAAAAAATAAATGAGTCGTTTGCAGGTAGGCCCAGAGTGTTGAAAAAGCTAATGAAGATTTTTGAGGATCATTGGGCAGATCAAATGGAAGTAAAGTTGTATGGGGCTGCTTTATTTCTCAACCCATCTAAGTATTTTGACTTGAAGAGGACTGATACTGCATATGCTTATGAGCAACGAGCGTTGTTCAATGATGTGGTTTACAAGATGATTGGTGATGATGAGTTGGAGTGCAAGATTAGCAAACAAGTTGATGATTATGATTTCTTGCGAGGAGGATTTGCAAAGCCATTGCCAATCAAACATAAAAAAACCAAGGCGCCTCGTAAGTCATACCTTGTTAGTTGTTACTAAAATAATAGTATTTATTTTAATTTTTTTTTACTTATAAAATATGAATTCTTAAAACACTTGTGATTTTTATTACTTATTAGTCGATTGGTGGAATGCTTTTGGTGGCCATGCTTTGGAGCTACAATCACTTGCATTACGCATAATAGGCCTTTGTTGTTCTTCTTCGGGTTGCGAACGCAATTGGAGTACGTTTGAATTTGTAAGTTACGCCATCCTTTTGAAGTCTATAGGTTTTTAACTACTTACTTCAAATGATAATAATTTTATTTATTTATTTATTTAGATCCACACCAAGAAAAGAAATAGGTTGGAGCATAAGAGACTGAATGATTTGGTGTTCATTCAGTACAATAGGAAGATTGTCAGCAGGTTCAAAAAGAGGCGTGAAGAAGGAAGTAGTTTCAACCCTTTGGTTTTAGAAGAGTTTTCTTGGGATAATGAGTGGGTTGATGATTCTGGTAGTCAAGTAGTTCACCATGGGGGTGATCTTTTATGGGATGAAGTTGATGAAGCTCTTGGTGCTTCAAGAAATCTAGATCGCCGTAATCCTAGGAGAGGTGATGGTGGTGAACCTTCAAGTTCAGTTAGAGTTTATTCTCGACGTCGTAATGATGATACAGATGTTGAAGAGAATGGTCAAGAGAGTGAACCATTTCCAAATGATAATTTAGACGTCGATGATGAGGATCAGGATGCCATGGATATCATTCATAACAACCAAGCTGACTCTAGATTTGACGATTTCCTTGATGATGTTTAAGTCTTTTTGTGTTGGATTATGTTATTGACTTATTTCTATTTTCTAGTTTTTGGATTATGGATAATGTTTGTGGTTGTTTTGATGAACTATAGGCTTATGGTTATGGTCATATGGATTATGTTATTTCTATGATTACATGTTTTATTACTTCATTTACTTCATTAGTATTGTTGGGTATAAGTGTTGCATGTAGGCTTTTTAGTATGTAAAACATATTATGAATTTATTAATGTATATGTCGACTTATCGCCGCGACTCCGCCACGACGGGCGCCATATCGCCATGGCGGTATGGCAGTCCAAAGGCGCCGCGCCGCAAAACCCCGCCGTAACAACTATGTGTGCAAGAGTATATATAAGAAAGTTTTGAACTACTGAACAAATTGTTGTTAATGCATGAATTGGGATGCTAGAAGCACACACGACCATTTATATACATATAGCGTATTTAAAGCGAACAACAAAAATATGATGGAGATATTTTATTAAATAGCCAGTTCAAGTTTTAGAGCCCGTTTGGTAACCTTGATTTTTGGCTTATCAGGCTTATCAGCCAACTTTTCCATCAAACATGTAACTTTTGATTTCGCGCGCTGAATTGTGTAATAATAAGAAAAAGTAAGGTTGGAGTTACTCTTCTGGCTGTATTGGCTGAAGTTACTGTAGTTACTGTAGAGGACTGTTTTAGCTTTTTTTTCATATAATTTTTTCTTTATTTTATTATTAAAATATATTTTAATTTTGTCTTCTTCACAAATCGGTCAATACAACCATTTCAGCCAGAACTTCATAAATTTCAGCAGAATTAGCCAATACAGCCGATTTGGGTATTACCAAATGGGCTCTTAATGCCAATTGTTCTATGTTGCTCCCCACATTTACATAGATTTCAAGTTTGGTCCTCAATGAGAAGTGACAACCAAATTCAGGCTGGTTCTTCGGTTAACTGTATCTGTGATTTATCCCCAAAGGTTAATGCATACAAACTGGTCCCATATTATGATAGATATCCTACAGTTTATATATATGAAGTAGAGAAAACAGAGAAAACCTTTGAATTCCTGAGGCGAATACAATGGCAGAAACCGTAGCCTAGCGTACAAGAAAGAGAAGAAACAGAAACAGAAAATACAAGTGAGACACTTCGAGTCGTCTCGCACTCCCAAACCTGGAAACCATACCAACAGCATAAAAGCAAGACTTGACGATTTGTACCTACTCCAACCTTACTGGTAAGTGCCTTTCCTTTCAATCCTTCCACACCATGCTGAGGTTTGTACATAGAGCCCCCTTTTTCCTTCCATCCCCTCTTGTCTTCATCTCGGAAT